ATGAAGAGGGTAAATGTGTCAGGAAAAAACCAAATGTCTTATTTTTCCTCTGCTCTCACACCTTAACAATCAATACAGAAGACCTAGACACATGGTGAGTGGGAGTTTCCTTTCCCACCCCAGCAAGTAAGCAATCAGTTCTGCAGTGGACACCACATGGTGGCCCCTAATCCAATTCAGTTCTGACACTGTCTACCTCATAAGCCAGGAAATGGGGATGAAGACTAGATAGTAGATAGATAGATAGATAGATAGATAGATAGATAGATAGACAGATGGCTGCCTCCCTGAAGCACCACACTGGTGCATGTTACATACCAGTGTGGGACTCTCACTAGGCACCAGGTATCACTCTGCACCCTTTACCTGGATTGTCTCAGTGATTCCTCAGAACAACCCTGAGAGAAAGGGACACTTAATCCCCATTTGAGAGACAGAAGAGTTAGGGGGCCTCCCTCATGACCCACAGCTGGAAAAAGGACAAGCTGGACTTCAAACCAGATACCACCCAAGATGAGGAAAGCATTATCATCCTCGCCTTTATTTACCACTCATTAGTCACCTACTGTGTGCAAGAAGTCAACAAGGATATATGTAGGGTGTCTGAAAAAAAATCCTAGGGTCTCCATGAGAAGAAACAGGTAGGTTTATCCACATAGAACCCTTTTCAGGGTTGGGAGTGGGAAGTCGCATCCCTTCTTGGGAGTTTTCAGGACAATGCCCCTTGAAGACAGTTGGCAACAGGTCATCCATGCCTCCAACATTCTAACATGAGAGCCTCTCCTGGAAAGAGATCCTGTTCCTTCTTTCTCTCCGTCCCCCTTGGAAGATGGTGAAGCACTGAGATAAAGCATGAGGGTTGTCAGAGTGGCTGCTCACCTGAGATAAACCCCCATTGGCACAAATCTCTCCTGCTAACCACTCTGGAGTTTGGTCCCAAACCAACATCTTTGTGTGGTTTGTCTCATTCAGAGAATTGTCTGGCTGCTCTGTGTGGCTGAGTACTTTCTTTATGTAAATGAATGAATGGATTCATTAGTGAATGAATGAATTCAAGTGGTAGAGCACCTGCCTAGCAAGTGTGAAGCCCTGAATTCAAAACCCCAGTACCACAAAAAAAGTGCCTAGAAGTCTTTCATGAAGAGCTTGTTACATGAATATGTAAATGTGTAAATAATATATATATAGATTTGGAAATAAAGTGGTATATAAAAGTTTTTCCTGCTGACAATAAAAAGTGGGTGAATTGGGTTAGAGGTGTGACTCAAGCAGTAGAGTGCCTGCTTTGCAAGCACAAAGCTATGAGTTCAAACCCCAGTCCCACCAAAAAAAAAAAGAGAGAAAGGAAAAAAAGTGGGCAACCTGCCACTTTTAGCCAAGACACAGTAACAAATCAGATTTGCCTCCCCACTTGAAACAACTAGAAAATTAAGGTTTTGTTTTCAAGACACTTGACATCAAGCAAGGAGGACAACTGATCCAAGATGGGAGACAGACAAGGTGAGCCCTATGACTCCCCCAACTTGGTACCTTGGGGAGGAGAACCAGGCAGAACCCTGAATTAAGGAGATGGAGTCAAGAGTGCTGGGAGACCAAGGCAGCTGGAGTTCACAAGACAAGGGAACCTGCAGAAGGTGCTAAACCCCAAAGATTAAGTGTGACAGTGGTGCTAGGCCCAAAAAGGGATTCCTCTAATAGGAGTTCTTGGCTACAGAGTTTTGCCCTGGACTAACCAACATCATGGATTAATGCCCCCCCCACACCAGCTTGTCCAGTCATATTTCTATCCCTTGCTTTTAACACACAAATTCCCCAAATAGACCTCTCGCATTCTTAACACCATCTCAGTGTCTGATTCTTAGAGAACTTAATGGACAAAGATGGCAAGGTCTATCACAAGAAGACAACCATAGACATAAGTTTTTCAAATGTTCTTTGGTTGTTTTGTTTTTGTGATGCTGGGTATCAAACCCAGGGTCTCATGAATGCAAGTGATGCTGGATCAGTGATCTGGAGTTCATGTCTGGACAAAGTCAATGATTGACGATGCCAGACCAGGAGTTAAGAGTAAAGCAAGTACAAAATGTATTGAAAGAACAGCAAAGCTCCCATACACATGGAGGGGCTTAGGGAAAGCTAAGCTGTAGTATAGTTGAAGTCTAGCTAGGAGTGATATAGGGCTCTGCCTAGCCTAGGCCCAACTATTTTATCTTGAAACTGTATTTGTAGTTAGTTGGGGCCTAGTCAACTTCTTGCTGAACCTGGGCACCTGCTCATCACCTTCCTTATCAAGCAGAACACTACAAGAAGATCTGGTCAGTTCACCCTGGCCTTGGGGCCCACATCTTGCAGCTGCATTTTGTTATTTTGGTGAGAAGCTTGTTATTTCTCTGAGAAACTGGTTGTGTTCCATTCCCCTTTAGATGTCTGCTTCTAAAGTGTCTCCCTCATCCAAAATGGGGTCACTTCTGCATTGCTCCCCTTACACAAGTGTGCTGCCACCGAGCCACACCAGCAACTTTGTGTGTGTGTGTGTGTGTGTGTGTGTGTGTGTGTGTTCATGCTTGCTAGTCAGGTGCTCTACCACTTGAGCCACTCCATCAGTCCAAAATGTTTTTTAAATGTTGAGCCCTTTTGTTCAAACAATCTCAGATGAAGTCTTTTTTTTTTTTCTCATTACTGGGGTTTGAACTCAGGGCCTTGAGCTTGAGCTTGCCAGGTAGGTGCTGTACTACTATACTTGAGTCACATCCCTAGCCCTTTTTAAAAATTTCTATTCTGTTTTGTTTTTTTATTTTTAAGATTTTTCTTCCTTTTTTTTCTTTTGGTGGTACTGGGGACTGAACTTAGGACCTTGCAATACTAGACAAGTACTCTACCACTTGAGTCACTTATTGTTTATTTATCCACTTATCTCTGCCTATTTTATTTGTTTTTTCAAGACACCTTGTTGTTTTTATGGCCATACTGGGGTTTGAACTCAGGGCCTTATGCCTGCTAAGTAAGTGCTCTATCACTTGAGCCACTTCACAAGCCCTTTTTTGTGTTGGGTATTTTGAAGATAGGTTCTCACAAACTATTTGACCGACTTCAGACTGGCTTCAGACTGTGGTCTTCCTGATGTCTGCTAGGATTACAGCTGTGAACCACCAGCACCTTGCTAAGAAGCTTATTTTATAATGCAGATGATAGAGTTGCTCTGATTGAATTAATAGTGAACACCCAGGATTCAGCTTTCTAAGCTCACAGGACTCCAGTTATTCCAGGCAAAAGTGAGAAAGTAATTAAGAGTGATCGAAGGAAATTTTTTAAAGCCTCTCTCATGGTATTTCCCATGGATGGTTCTGCTGGCTGCAGAATAGACTGAAATGAAGAGGGCAAGCGACCCTAGGAAATTTTTTTGGTCCAGTATGAAGCTGATGGGCTCAAGGCTACAATGGCAGGGGAAAAAAAAAAAAAAAAAGAATGGAGAGGAAGGGCTAGATTTGAAAAGGAATTCAGCAGGACTTTATGGTTGGATTTGTTGGGTTTATTGTCCCTTCCTTACTCAGCAGATATGTAGGGAATGCTGGCTGCATGTCAGCACTGTGATAGAGGAGCTATGTGTACCATGTTGAGCAGAACAGCTTTGCTCTGTGAAACTTACAGTTGGGCTCAGGCCCAGAAATGGAGAGGAAAGTCTTCATGGTGGGTTGAAGGCTTCTTTGGGATAGACAGTGTTTCTCAGTCCAAACAACAACCAATTAGTGAGAGGAGCAATTGTTCTAATGAAACAGAACAGGAAGTATCGGGTTTCTTGAATGTCACAAGGGAAAAAAGTTTCTAGAAATTTTATTTCTCTTACGTTCTATACTGAATCAGTAAGCACAATGCATCCTTACTGAGGGACAAGTAAATAATGGGAAGAACATCTTGTAAAATTTTTAACCCTGTATTCCTTGAGAGAACTAATCATACTAATTTTTGTGATCCTATTCCTAGATAGATGGAAGTGGATGAATAAATGGACAGACGGGTTATGTATGCATATGACGGTGGATGGATTTAAAATGAATAGGTTGCTCAGGCTTGTAACCCCAGCTCTCCGGTGGAGGAAGCAGGAGGATCTAGAATTTGAGGCCAGCCTGGAGTACAAAAGGAGATCCTGCCTCAAACAAGAACAAGGCTGGGGGGTGTAACTCAGTGGTACAGCACTTGCCTAGCATGCAAAAGCCCCTGACTTCCATTGCACCGCAAAAATAAAATAAAAATTGTCCAATTTAAGCAGCAAAATAGATATTTAGACAGATGGATCATGAAAGGTGAAAGAAAGAATTATGGATGGAAGGAGGCAAAAAGACCTACAGAAGTCAGTGTGTGTGGGGGGGGGGCAGGTGTAAAAACGATAAAATTTTTTTAAAAAGTCGGAGTATAATATACTGAGTCTGAGGGGATTCAAGACAAAAGAGATGGACAAAGTTAAGGTCCATCTTAACTTTGAGAGGGGTCAAGGTTAGGAGGCCGAAGCTCTGCAAGTAGCAAGCAAGGGGTGAATCGGCTTGAAGTGGAAAATTGGAATCGCGCAATTTATTCCTGCGCAGACCCTGGGGCATTGCCGCCCCTCCGCCCCGCCCACTTCTGCAGGCCACGCCCCCAAGCTGACAGCTGAGAGCCTTGGTCCTCCCAACCACGAAGCCTTCGGGCTAGAAGGGTCCAAAGCGCCCGAGAACTCCAGAGCTTTGCAGTGGCACGCGCCACCCTTTGGGGTCGGTTCCCGGGTGCCAGCTCTCAGCAGCCAGTTACTCTCAGAGTCTGGCTTACGTAGATTCCCTGCCTCCGCCCATCCCCACCAGTCTTTCCTGCCCGGCGGTGGATGGGCCGCAGAGACTCCCGCCAGACACGGCTCCTGGAACACCATGGAAACGCGGTCCGCCGACGGCCCAGCCCGCCCCCTCGGGAGCGTGTGTCACAGCATCGACGTCATTTTCCGTCGCCTCGGGCTGGGCCCGGAGCGACAGCGTCTGAGGAGAACACCGCCCGGGGGGGCAAGCCCTGAGGAAAGGAGAAACGTGACGGGATTCAGGACTCGTACTGCTCCTCTCACGGAACCGGGGGCTCCAGCCCGGTTCTGTCCCTGCCGCCCTCGGAGGGCCGCTGAGTGTGAATTGGACCCCGCGCCTTGGGCGCGGACAGCCTGACGGGGGATCGGGGCTCCTCGGCCGGCCTGAGAGGAGAAGCGGGGTGGAGGCCAGCGGCGGGTCACTGCGTAGCTCGAGGCAGAGCTGCAGGCGCGACCCTGCTCCTCAGCTCCGGCCTTAAAATGGCTGGCTCTGCCACCATTCCCAGCCCCATGCAGACACTCCAGGAGGAGGCGGTGTGCGCCATCTGCCTCGATTACTTCACGGACCCCGTGTCCATCGGCTGCGGGCACAACTTCTGCCGCGAGTGTGTGACCCAGCTGTGGGGCGGGGACGACGAGGAGCGGGAGGAGGGAGAGTGGGGGGAGGAGGACGAGGACGAGGAGGCGGCGCGGGGTGCCATCGGCGGATGGGACAACTCCATTCGAGAGGTCCTGTACCGGGGGAACGCTGAAGACTTGTTCCGGGACTACGACGACGACGGGCTCTGGTTTGGTGATGGTGGCGTGAGGAACTGGGACCTGAACTACGGGAGACACCGGGAGGAAGAGGAGGACGATGGGGACTATTACCTGGAAGGAGGGTTGAGGCATGACCTGAGAATTGCCGTCTATCCCGATGACGCGGCCCCGCGACGGGACGATGGCCGCGAGGACGAGGAGCTGTACCCCGACCGCCGCCCCGCCTCCCCCCCGCGCCCCCCGCAGTTCTCCTGCCCCCAGTGCCGAAGGACCTTCACGCATCGCAGCTTCCGCCCCAACCTGCAGCTGGCCAACATGGTCCAGGTCATTCGCCAGATGTGTCCCACTAATTACGGAGGAGGCTGGGGGAACGAGCAGGCCATCTGCTACAAACACCAGGAAGCCCTGAAGCTCTTCTGCGAGGTGGACAAAGAGGCCATCTGCGTGGTGTGCCGAGAATCCAGGAGCCACAAACAGCACAGCGTGGTGCCACTGGAGGAGGTGGAGCAGAACAAGGTGAGGATAAGGAGGGAAGCGGGGGCGGGGTGGAGGGCGAAGGAAGCAGGGGAGCTTGTCAGTAGCAGCATCCCTTTCCCAACTCTCAGGTGTTTGCTAGTTGAACTTTTCTTTGAGTTGGAGGGGGGCAGCACGGTGGAGAGAAATGGGCATGGGACTAGTTGGGGACAAAGCAGACACAAAACCGTGAAGGCTGGTAGATTGACTTCCTCAGAGGAAACTGAGCAGACATATGACGGTCATCAGAAGCCACTACTGTTGATACTTTCAATTCATCTATATGTAAGGTAACAGGTATCTAGTACTTAATTTCTCTGTAAAGTTGAGTGGGTCTTCAGTCTATACTCGACCAAGTCCTAGAAACCCTCATAAATAGGAATAAAAGGCCACAGTACTTGTAGATGGTAGACAGTTTGGGACCCCAGAGCACAAACAGTGTGAAAACAGGTGTCTAATATTAGTAGACAAATGCCAGGTTTGAGTCATGGACTAGGGGGACTAACTGGCCACACCCCCTCCCAAAATCTGAGATTGTTTCCCTACCCTCATAGGGTTCTTTTTTCCTTGAGAGAAAAGCTGAGGATCAGAGAGAACTTCATGTCCTGACCACTTTCCTTTCCTGGTATTTTATCATAGTGGAATGAGTGAGAGATGTAGGATCAGATGACCTGTCTCTGTCACTTCCTGTCCAGATCTCTACTCTTTGAGCTTCACTTTTTCCCTAGGATTCTTCGGATTAAAAGGGTCATGTACGTTAAAGTGTTTTATAAACCATAAACCACTAAGCAGATGTTTGCCTTTTTACTTGGCTTCTAACTTGTCTTTCCTTCTATGAGTACTTAACAATAGTTATGCTTTGTCTTCTTCCTGATCTCCTAAGCATTAGAAGAGTATCTCCAGACTCTGTCATGCAATGGATAGCAACTTCTAGTGATGAAAAATGTCTGGATAACAGTCAAGAAGAGTACTGTTTCCTTACCAAAAGTCTTGGTAGACTTGATCTTTAGCAGTACCCAAGGAAGAAAAGATTGTCTTTAGGGGCCATAAAAAGTTTAATTTAGATATTCAGTATCAAGTGCTCATGAGTAAAATGTAGTTCCTAGTGGTTTCAAACAAGTTTTAGACCAGTTAGTGGGTCATAAAATAAAATGGGTCATGCTGAAGATTACTTTAAAATAAAATGTCAGAGCACAAGGAGCATGGTATGGGTAAGTACTGTTTTATGAAACTTGTAAATTTATATATATATATATATAATATATATATATATATATATATATATACTGTATATATAAATAAAATTTGGCCTTCCATTGTGAAGTAACTATTAGTAAGTATACAGTTAAGACATAAATCTAACTAAATTACTGCTATCACACCCTAGCATGCTGTTTCCCCATGCAGGGTGAAAAGTAACTTTGCCCATGGAAGAAACTATGCCCTATGCTTCTGGGGTTTAGTACACCAAAGCTGGGAAAAGGAGGGAACTTTGCATTCCTCTGCCAGGATTTTCTGGAGAGGATTTTGAAACTGAAATCTTAATGAACTGCTAATTTAAATAAGAGAAAAAGAGATGTCTCTTAAAACTGAGAGGATCAGATGACATTCATTTGAAACCAGACACATTTGTTAAAAGCATATCAGTAAGTATAAACAAAGATCAAAACCAAGTCAAACAAGCTGGGATAATCTGTTGTTGAATATTTCTAAACAAACATATACTTTGTTTTGAAAGATATACCAGAACGTAGGTAATGGCGTTGCTAAATCCAGGAATCACATTTACCACGTAAAAATTTGCATTGTATGTAAGTTATGTGTAAATGATAGTAATTGACATGTTCACTATCATTCTTTATACAGTTTATTGTCACTTTTCATTGGTAAACATGCAAATTATAATAGCATGATTTAGGATTTTATTGAACAAAACTTGTAACAGTTAACACTAAAAGGAAGTGTTTTGGAGTCATGAAGTCTCCTGGAACCATTTTTGTATAGTGGTTTATTTAATATGTACACATTAGCCATCACATGATTGCAGCTTCAATGAATTCTCTCTTGCTAGCTACTAATTCAGAACAAATATTATATTTACTTTAGAGGTATTAGCCTTAGGAGCATTGGGTATGGAGGTTGTTAACCAATAGACTTAAGGAATAGGAAGTGATTTTCAGAATAGTAAAGAAAGGCATTTCTCCTTCCCCCAAAATGATACCAGCATTGTAGGGTATGGGGAGGGTTATATTTAGTGTTGTACTACTTAAAAGAAAAAATGCTTAATTTTTCACAATATAGGAAATACAGTTGGAAAGAACTCCTTGACTGGTGAGAATACAAAGAAGATAGAGCAAGAAAGCATTCTGAGCAAAGCCTTTAATCAATAAGGTATATGAAAGATAGCTACAGATGTTCATTGTGGATATTGTGCCATTTATACAACTATTTCTATTGGATGTGCAGAACAATTATATTGTTTTGAAGTCAATGTTCTTTTAAATTTTAATTTTGTTTAAGAAGAGGCTTTTTAGCCCTGAAAAGTTTACTTCCATCTTCCATCTTGTTCGCCTCAAGAGTTTGTGTTGCCTCTGCAAGCTAGAAACAGAGGATTATTGAAAGTTAAAAAGTTAGATTTGGCCAGATGCTGGTGGCTCATGCCTGTAACCCTAGCTACTCAGGAGGCAGAGATCAGGAAGATCATGGTTTGAAACCAGCCCACGGCAAATAGTTTGAGAGACCCTATCTCTAAAAAACCCATCACAAAAATGGGCTGGTGGTGTGGCTCAAGTGGTAAGAGCACCTGCCTACCAAATGTGAGACCCTGAGTTCAAACCCAAGTGCTGCCTGAAAAAAAAGTTAGATTTGATGGACACTATTAAGTGGTATCAGGTTTTAGGCAGCTAGATTGGTATGTAAAAAAGTTCACTTACTGGGGCCCAGGCATAACTAGATGCCTTTATTGCCTTGTCACCTAGTTGCCACCAATAAAGTCATTTATCATTCTGCAAGAGAGACCAATGATCCACCACTAGTACTCGTTTTTTCTGTTTTCTCCTTTAAGGTAGCTAAAAATGGGAGCCAAAAACTTTAAGGCTCTTATTAAGTATGTATTCATGTTATGGTGCAGAAGATAAGGGTAACGTCTTCATTTGAGTTATCTGAATATTGGGCAGTGCAAACTGTTTAAGTCATGCCATTAAAAACAGTGGAGTTGCTGGGCATGGTGGCACGTGTCTATAATCCCAGCATTCGGAGGCTGAGGCAGGAGGATCACCAAGGAGTGTTTTGTAAAGCACAATTTGTTAGGATTGAACAGTAATGGAATATTATAGGAATCTTCAAAGGCCTTAAAAGCTTGACATTAAATAGCTTTTTTAATTGCAAAGGAGAAAAAAATGGAGAAACCTGTGATACTTTGCATTCCAAGTGCTACTACAACTTTGAGAGGAAATCAAAGAATTCCAGGATTTCATCTACTTCTGCAGTCTGAACTCTGAACCGATGACTGAATATATCAAACTTCAGAATTTAAGAACCATCAGCTCACCCTTTGCTGCTATTAGTTGAGATTAATTTATTGACGAAGAAAACTGTGCTTTGCTTACATTCAAAATAAGACTTTCAAAACAGATATGCTGTTTTCACAGGCCTCCTACTTGACCACTAAATACAATTTTGAGGAGAGGTGTGTTTTTGAGACAGTCTCACTGTGTAACCCAGGCTTACCCCGAACTCACAGCAATCCTACTGCCTCAGCCTCCTGAGTGCTAGGATTGTGGGTGTGCACCACCATGCCTGGCTTAAAGACAGTATTTTTTGAATATGTATCAAATGAACTGATTTTGAAGAAACTGTGCAGTAGTCTATGTTGATGGTGCTACAGCAATGTCATGTTGGAATTTCGGCAAAAATTGAAGAAGAAAACTAGTGTTCAAGATGTACTGTGGCATTAAGCATCAACTTTCATCAATTATCTGCCCATAATATACTAGAAATCTTCAGCTTTGTGGTCACCATAGACCACTGTGAAAGACAGTATATTCCATCCCAGTTTGCTTTTGAAGATCTGAACGCCATTCAGTGTTTTCTGTTACATATTCAAGTTCCTTAGTTGTCAAAGAGAACAGTATTCAGCTGATTTATGAACAGATCAACCTCAACCTTGGAACACCAGTGAAGAATATATACTTTAATATTTCAGGAATTCAATTTTCAGCATAGTTATAACACACTGATACTTAAAATACAGTGACTTTGAAATGTCAGTAGGCAAACACCAACATTGCTTATTCTGAATTATTTCAAGCAAAACTTGCCAAAAAAAGTATGTGTGCATACTTAAGCAAAGTTACAGTAAAAAAATGTCTAATTTCTTGGACAGAGACCAAATTCGTAAGTGTTATTTCAAGGAAAAAAAATTCAGAATAACTGGGTGATGGCAGTTTTGGGAGAAATGTTTCACAGTGATGTTCGATCCTCATTCAAAGAGCTTCAAGAGAAGTTTGGATTTTTTTAGCTAGAAACTTCCAGACAAATACTGTAAAGAAACTAGGGTGTAAAATGTCTGAACAGATGAGAAGGCTTTATTACATTCATTATTCCATTTTCTCTTTGCATCTGAAAAGCTTTGTTTTTTTCTTTTGGTGTTTCTAACCAGTGTAAAAGTGTTGTTGAAAGCAATTTTTATTTTGTTGTATCTGTTACACCACTGAGGAAAGATAAGTTTAGGCTTAACAGTGACATACTCAAGTTCATAAGTTCGTAACATCTGAATAAATTTTTCCTTCTAAAATTAACATTGCTTTGATTAATTTTAGTCATGATACTTAGTTTTGAAATTTCAAAAATGCTAAAAGAGGGAGAACATGAATGTTTTTAAGTATATGAAAAATATGGATGTGCATTACAAAAATACCAGAAAACATATAACCATAACAAAAAAAAAAGTACAATTGTACGTAACAGGGTTTTTTTGTGTGTGGTACTGGGGCTTGAACTCAGGGCCTCACACTAGGCAGGTGCTCTACCACTTGAGCTACTCCGCCAGCCTGTAACATATGGTTTTGTTTTTTTCTTTTTACAGTACTGGGGTTTGAACTCAGGGTTTTGCGCTTGCAACACAGGCCCTCTACTGCTTGAGGCATACCTCTAAGTCCATTTTGATCTTTTACGTTTTTTGGTCATCATTAGTGGAGTTTTAACTCAGGGCCCAATACTCTCTAGGCAGGCGCTCTACCTCTTGAGCCCCATGGCTATTTGAGCCCCATGGCTCAAGCTGGTAGAGCGCCTGCCTGGTAAGTGCCAAGTCCTGAGTTCAAAGCCCAACACCACTAAAAAAAAAAAAGTTTACAAACTGGATTTTTAATTGTACTTTAAATAGCCACTTGTGGCTAGTAACTATCAAATCATATTGAACAGCACAGTTCTATATCAAGAAAACAGGTTGAACCCTGGTTCTTCCTAGGACCCTCAGGAATAGCAAGACTAAAGAAAAGATGAAAATGGAAGAAATGAGACAACTTTCTATTTCCAATCTGGGTACACAGGCTGTAAAGTGTTATTTTCAGGCATAGAAGGATAAGATATTCTTTAATCTGGCCAAAATGGTCTAGAGCCACTTATCCTTTTTTTTTTTTTTTTTGACAGCACTGGGGTTTGAACTTAGGGCTTCACGCTCACTGGAGCCGTTCCATCAACCCAAATTATCACTTCTGATACACATGGATCACGTGTGGGGAATGTGACAGGGAAAAACTAAAAGAAAGTGGTTAAAAAGTGTGGGAGCCAGGCATGCCTTCTGGCTAGAGATCCTTTCCCCCCTCAGGTTTCACTGTCTCCTGCCTAATCTCCCAAAGACACCCTTGCTAATCCCTCTTCCTTTCACTACTTGTCCCCATCCCCGCTTTTTTTTTTTTTTTCCCTTGGTGGTACTGGGGTTTAGAACTCAGGGAATTGTGCTTGTGAGGCAGGCACTCTACTGCTTGAGCCATGTCCCCAGCCCACTACTAACCCTTTACTATTTAGTCTGTAAGGCTGATCACCAAGATTAGAATCCACCACATGCCAAACTGTCCAAAGGGTGAAAACACTGACCAGTCCCAATCCTCAAGATATTCATAAAGGAGAGCCTTGAGGTACTCAAGTAAGTACACAGCTGAGGACCAGTGACACTACAACCACTGCCAAAAGAGCATGAAACGAGAGAATCTGACCTAGACCTGGAGGTTCACAGAGGCAGAAGAACAATGTAAAGAGATACAATAGGTCAAAGGAGCAGGGGAGGTGCAGTGTGAGGCCTGCAGAACCAGGCATGTTGCTTCTGCATGGTGACAGTACAGAGTTTTGGGGAGGGGTTGTTTTGTTGGTTGGATTTTTGAAGCAGGGTCTTGCTATGCAGCCCATCCTGGCCTGAAGCTGCTGATCCTCCTGTCTCAGCTTCCTGAGTGCTGGGATTACAGGCGTATATCACGCCTAGCAGTGTGGTCATTATCAATTAAAGTAAATGGGGAAAAAAATAAAAATAACAGTTTCAAGGACTGGAGCTGTGGCTCATGTGGTAGAGTGCTTGCTTTACAAGTGTGAAGTCCTGAGTTCAAACCCAGTTCCACCAAAAAAAAAGTTAAAAATATAAAGTAATTGGAAAAGCCAGCTTCCCAGGGATTTAGCTGACCCTCTGATCCCGGTCATACGTCTTTCAGCCCCTCACCTACCCACAATAGCTCGCTCTTCGGCACTTAATAGAAAACTGGACACCACCACCCTCATGGTCCTGCGTGCTGGCAGGAGGGAAGGGAAGCAGGGAGCTTGAGGGGCGCTTACCAACTGGGTGTGTCTGGTGGGCTCCTTCTAGAAAAGGAATGGTAGGCGGACCTTCTCAGAAAAGCCTCCCGTTTCTCCTTGGGATTCTTACTCAATGGAATGGAAGTGGTGGTGAGGTCCCAGACGTAGAAAGAAGTTGCAGCTCGGGGGCTCAGACAAGTGGTGACACCCAGTTGAACTCCGGGCTTGGAGCGGTGGCACAGCCACCAACATGGTGTGGCCGGCTAGGAGTCTTCCCCGAAAGGCCAGGTGGAGCCTCCTGCAAGCTTCCCACCCCACGAGGCTGGAGAGGAAGGCCAGCCCACGTAGACCAGGTAGACTTGTAGTGGGAGAAGCGCGGCTGATTCTCAGACATCCTTACGGCTGGGGGAGGACACTGCTGGAAGGGGCCGGGTACCTTTCCTGACCAAGAGGCAATCTAAGGTTCCTCCCGGTGAGGCGGGGGTCCCTGGCCAGGACCAGGTGCGAGTGCCCAAGTCGGAAGCTACGGAGCCCCGGAGGGAAGAAAGCGAGGATGGGATGCTCAATTCCAGTGGATGCCCAACGGGAAAGAAAGCCGCTCTTCCCGTCCAGCCCCCACCCCTAGCTACATCTAAAGTGGTCCCAGGGTCAGGGCGACTCGTCCCTCGGCTACAATTGTCCTTCAGTAGCCATTGTGGCCAGCCAGCATTCCCCTGAGCGGTTGGAGGAACTGAAGAAAGACTCCAAAAGGGAAGCCCCTGGATGTGAGGGCGATCTGGCTGCGACATCTGTCACCCCATTGATCGCCAGGGTTGATTCGGCTGATCTGGCTGGCTAGGCGGGTGTCCCCTTCCTCCCTCACCGCTCCATGTGCGTCCCTCCCGAAGCTGCGCGCTCGGTCGAAGAGGACGACCATCCCCGATAGAGGAGGACCGTTCTTCCGTCAAGGGTATACGAGTAGCTGCGCTCCCCTGCTAGAACCTCCAAACAAGCTCTCAAAAGGGAAGCCCAAATCCTGCAGGGCTCAGTCGTCCGCAAAATCTGCCATACACTCCCTTTCTCCCTGTCCTCCGGCTGGGATTGCCATCTCGCTCCAGGTGAGCTCCAGGACACCATCTAAGTCCCAGCTCAGCTGCCAAGGAGCGGACGCAGAGGGAAGGGTGGTAGCAGGAAGCGGCAGTAGGTCCAGTGTTGGTCTCGCGAGGCTGGGGAAGAGGACGGGGCGGGGGCGGGGCACTAGCAAGAGGGGACGGGTCTGGACTCCAGAGCCTGCAACTTCCGGGAAAGGGATCCCGGATCCGGGTCTGGAGCTTGCAGGTTGGGCCTGGGAATGGGCTAGTTTTAGATCGCGGCATCTTAGGCGTGCTGATTCCAAGGGATTCCCTGGGCAAGGCTCAAGAAAAAGAACAGAGGGCATGCGGACACAACGGTGTCTAGCAAGCGAGGCCCTGGCCTGATTCGATATCCGACACCAAAAAAAAAAAAAAAAAAAAAGCCGAATGAGGTTTCTAGAAAGGGAAAAAAATGTAGCGATGTACTTGAGTGCTAGAGCTACTTAAGCCGCCTACGTTTATGGGCCGACAAACAGGGAATCTCGCGCAGCGAATCGCGTAGCCGTTCACCTTTCCACTTGTAACCAGCATCCAGGGAACCGGGAGGGAGGAGTCGTGGGCAGCAAATGGTTACGGGTGAGTGAAGACAGGGATTTCAGTGACCCAGAGAAACAAAACATGTGGGTGGAGGTGGAGTTAAGTATTGGAAAAGAGAAAGGCCAGCCAGTTGAGGGTACCAAGGAGCCAGGTGATAACAAGCCTGGGCCCAGGAGAGCGCCCTGGGGAGCCTCAGAAGAGTGAGAGGAAGCCATCGAGTCCGTAGCAGACCAGGAAAGCAAGTGGTCCTAAGTGAGAGATCCGAGCCTTTTCTGCACACCTGGGCAGCTATGCCTTGCTGCAGCTTTGCTCCTGCTACTCGCCTCCTACCTTTCTTCCCCCAGGCCTTCTAGTAGGCCTTGTAAAGGCCCTACGTCAACTGTCCCCTCCTTCCATCGCACCGCTTAGTCCTTAGTTACACCAGCTCCTGATCTGTGCGCTGAAATGCTATTCCCCCAAGTGCCCACAAGGCTCTGTCTCACATCTGTGCCTTTACTCCAGTCTTCCCTCACCACAATATGTACACTGTAAAATACAGATGGTCCCCATCTGTTTTGTTGTTGTCTATTTTTTGTTTTGTTCACAGTTGTATCTTGAAGATCTCAAACAGTCCACTACAAAACAGGTGCTCCTTATGTTCTACAGCACACTGGGCTAGGCATTGTTCTGGGCACTTTACAACTATGAATCTTATTTCCAATCTCATTTCACAATGAAAAACTTCTGGTTAATACATGTTAAAAATAGAAAAGTAAATATTTATGTCGAATCTCCCTTTATTTTGCAGATACCAGTGGCTGCTATCATCCTGATCTGTGCACCCCACCCCCCCCACCCCCCTTTTAAAAACTATTTGAGGGAGCTGGCACGCCTGTAATCCTAGCTACTTGGGAGGCTGAGATCAGGAGGATCGCAGTTGGAGGCCAGCTCTGGCAAACTGTTCATGAGACCCCCATCTTCAGAATAACCAGAACAAAATGGACTGGATGAGTGGCTCAACTGGTAGGGCACCTGCTTTGCAAGAGTGAAACCTTGAGTCCAAACTCCATTCCCATCAAAAAGACGAAAGAGCTGTTAGCACCATCTCTTATAAAAGGATATATGACAGTGAGAAGCATTGCATATTTAAGCAAGCATGGCTGAGCCCAAGGCAACCAGAAATCCACGTTCCTCGTCTCTGTCCAGAGGCACCTCTTTTGGAGCACACCTGGATCCTAGAATCTGCAGGCTTTTCTCTGGGGTGGCCAGGCCCACGGTGCTTTTGACTAGAGGCCCCAGAAGTCAGAACCCAGAAGTACTTCCTCTCAGGCCTTTTGGATTCTGTAAGACCTTTCTGCTCTCTGGTGTAGGTGGGAATGTCTAGCAGTACCCAAGCCAGTTTTTAGTTCATCCAGGGGTTTCCCGCCTGGACCAAGTAGGTCCAGACATGAAGTGCCTTACACAACACTATCAGAGAGTAAAGCTGTTGAGGGAAGAGTTCGGCTTCACGCTTGCTAGGCATGCGCTGTACCGCCTAAGCCCCCCTCCCGTCCTCAGTTTTAAAGTTCATTAAAATGTTTTACTCTCGTATTTTTATTCTTGTGTGCATGTGGCTTACGTTAATTTTTGATTTATCACACATTCATAATAGGATGGGATTTCATTGAGGTAATTCCATACATGCGTACAGTGTACTGTCAGGTTCATCCGCATATGATTTTTTTTGAGACATGGTGCGGCCGTGTAACCCAAGCTGGCCTCGAACTCAACCTCCCAAGTGCTGAGACTACAGCCAAGCAGCACCGGCTAGTATTTTTGCATTTTGCAAACTGACCATTTTCACAATGCTGAACTCAAAAGATAAGCTCCTTCCGTCTTACAGTCCCCGGAACCACGCGGAAAGGGCGGTACTCGAGATAGCCACGCAGGGGTGAAAGCAGCTGTGCAATTCTTCCGGGAATTTGCCCTCACTTCGCCTCTTTGGCCTGAGGAGACTCCTTAAACAACTCGTAGTGTTGGGTTCAGAACGTACTTATACAACGCTACCAAATTAGGTAGAGTGGCAGAATGAATTAGGGTGTGTGCTTTCACCTTCTTTCCACGGCAGGGCGCTGGCATTATGAGCACAAGTGAATCCTGGGAGCCGCCATTTCACACGCACGCGCGCGTATTTCCGGTTCCGGCGGGGCTTGGCTCGGTCTTTTTCTGTGCAGGGCCGCGACTGGAGCGGCCGCGGAGCTCGTGTGTCTGAACTATCCGGTGCCATCCTCGTCGCTGCGGCGACACCCGCACCAACCGTCGTCATGACTGAGCAGATGACACTTCGTGGCACCCTCAAGGGCCACAACGGCTGGGTAACCCAAATCGCTACCACCCCGCAGTTCCCGGACATGATATTGTCCGCCTCTCGAGGTACGGGGCCGAGGTGCGGGGTGGGAGATTACGTGGGTGGGGGGTTGCGTGTGACTCGTGGCAAGCCCGGCAGAATCCTGCACCCGTGTATGGCTCGGGGCGGGCAGATCGAGCTTAGGCCTCAGCCCGGGCGGGTCACTTTGCACGTGCGGACACCGAGACATAGCCGGTAGCTGCCCCTAAGGATTGAGGATTTTAAGGCTTGTCTGTCTTCCTAGGTATGGTTAAGTAGCCCGGGAGACTAGACACCAGGCGCAGCGGTGATGACCCCAACATGCCATCTGAGTGCCTGTGCTGAAACCCAGAGGCTGTTTCTGAGCTGCTGCCTGGCCCCGGGCTCGATGGGACGCGGGTGGACTCGCGCGGGGTAAAGGTTACATTTCCCAGCCTGCGCTCTCTGCGCTTGGTCTTCTCCCTCCCCCCTTACTACTTAATGGACTCTTTAAGTAGTAAGAGCACTACTTGTGCCTCTGCTTCCACTCAACTAAAAAATTTCAGACCCAGTACCGCCCAAAAGGAAAAAGAAAGTTCATGTCTGGCACTTAATTGTCACACTTGCTTACTGGGACACGTTTCTGTGAAAGCATCCACGCCTGCAGTGTGTAAAGGCTTTTTAGCATTGCAGCATTTCTGTCAGCCCTCCCACAGCCACGCATCCCACCCAGGTTGCTGTTTCCATATTAGACTTAAGAAAAGGTACAAAATAAATGTTGAACTACTCTGAATCCCAGGAAGAGGTGTCCATAATCTGACACCTGACTTAAGAGTCTAACGGTACAGTTTAGGCTTACCCACGTCTTTATTCTGGAGTCCTGGGTTGGTCAGCCCTGGATAGTAATTGCTCTGAAAGAACAGTTTTTGTCCCTAAAGTGTAATGTGCTTCTTAAGCTGCACATGACCTTGAGACATCTTGACTTAACTAGCTCAGCAAAGGGGCTCCTCACCGGTTTTCCTTCTCTTGTTTTATCTCCCTTCCCAGACAAGACCATCATCATGTGGAAGCTCACCAGGGATGAGACCAACTATGGCATTCCACAGCGTGCTCTGCGGGGTCACTCCCACTTCGTTAGTGATGTTGTCATCTCCTCTGATGGCCAGTTTGCCCTCTCAGGTTCCTGGGATGGAACCCTGCGCCTCTGGGATCTCACAACGCAAGTAGCTGTTCTGGGGTCTTGGGGGAAAGCTGGGTAGATGGCGGGGAGGGGGGGTAGGTAGTATGGGAAGGTGATTTCTCAGGGGAACCTGGCCAATCTGGGAATGATAAGGCAGATGCTCGGAGAAGATGGCTGCAGTTTGGTCTCCTTTCTTTGTGTTGACTACTAGGAATTGCTGTGGATGGTGTAGTTGAATGTTTTTGCTAAGTACAGTAGTTTGGAGTTGGTAATGGTTTAAGGAAGCTTTGAGTGGTCCCCTGGATGGGCAGATGTGGAGGGTCCTGGTGATGACAGATGACATTGTCAACCAATCCCCACAAGGGAATGAGGACATGTCCTGCAATTCTGAATGGATTCTCTGACATAGATTTAGCCAAGGGTTTGTTGTGATCCCAGCCACCTTCGGGGTTGTATTGAATGATGGAGCCTAATGGGACAGGGACAAAGCCAGGAGCAGAATCTGACTATAAAAGAAGAAAGTTTTCAAAGTCTCCAGAGAGTGACCAAGTTCTCCCTCTCAGGGGCACTACCACGAGACGATTTGTAGGCCATACCAAGGATGTGCTGAGTGTGGCCTTCTCCTCTGACAACCGCCAGATTGTCTCTGGATCCCGAGACAAAACCATAAAGTTGTGGAATACTCTGGGTGTATGTAAATACACTGTCCAGGTAAAGTGGGCAGAGAGCACATGATTAAGGTTCTCCCATCTTTCCTCTTCACTTTTGTCTTGTGTGTTGATTTAGATCCTGTCGGGAATCTAAAGGGATTTTGTTGATCTTCAGGGTGGGTTCTGAGGATGTGAGTGCAGTGCTGCCAACATTCATTGAGGAGTGGGTTGGGGGATGTCTGGAGTTTCCTGGGACTGGACTGTTTTGCTCTTCTTTCTGTCCTCTAGGATGAGAGTCACTCAGAGTGGGTATCCTGTGTTAGGTTTTCACCCAACAGCAGCAACCCTATCATTGTCTCCTGTGGCTGGGATAAGCTGGTGAAGGTGAGCTTTCAATCAAGTTTATAGGGCCTCTACCAAACAAAATGTCTTCCCATCGCCTCCCAAATGGCTGTAGCCTTGAACTTTGTTTTGTAGATTACCTCAGTTGATTGTCCTTCTCTGGTACAGACCTTTGGGTTTGGATATTTGGTCTAAAGCAGCTAATTGATGTCCCTTGTAAGTCACCATACAGCACTTGGTTAATCAAGTGACCAAGACAAGCTCTTCAACTTCTCAGGTTTTGTTTGTGCTTGCAGTTTTGTTACTAATAGAGTATCAAGGGAATGCCCTTTTTTGAGACAGAAGACCTCAGTCGGTAGCCCGTGCAGGTCTCAAACTGGCAATCTTGCCTCAGCCTCCTGAATGCTGGGAACACAGGCTTGTGCCACAATACCCTACTTGGGAATAGTTTTTATATTACCATACATTAGTTATACAGGGGGGATTCAATGTAACATTTACATGGGTGCTTACACTGTCTTAATTAGGTTCACCCCCTTCTTAGCACAATTTCAGCAAGCTTTATTTAAAATACATTCGCCAGATTACCCTCTTGCCTACTTCCCTCCCACTGGTGCCCAACCCAAGACCTGCTTACATTTCAGGAATGTGGGGTCTTTTAGTGGGGCTGGGGTTTGAACACAGTACCTCACACTTGAAGCGCTATACCATTAGAGCCAGTCAGTCCTTCTGTGTTATTTTCACGATAGGTCTCCTGAACTATTTGCCCTGGCTGGCTTCAAACTGTGGTCCTCCTGATCTTTTGAACTCAGGACCTCATGCTTCCTAGGCGGATAGGCAGGTACTTGAGCTACTCTGACAAACCCTGCTCTGGTTATTTTTGAGATGGGGGTCTTGTGATCAGGCTTGCTTCAAACCTCAGTCCTCCTGATCTATTTCCCAGTTAGCTAAGAGTATAGGCTTGAGCCAGCACACAGTTTAGGAATACTTTTTCTTTTCTCTTCTTTCGTGGTACTAGGGTTTGAACTCATGGCCTTGTGTTTACTAGGCAAGATCTGAACCCCTCTTACACTGGCCATTCCAAAACTAAATTCCTTACCCTATCTTTGTAGGTGTGGAATTTGGCTAACTGTAAGCTGAAGACTAACCACATTGGCCATACAGGCTATCTGAACACTGTGACTGTCTCTCCAGATGGATCCCTCTGTGCTTCTGGAGGCAAGGTATTTAGGGGCTAGCTAGACTTCTCCTCAGTGAGTGATAGTTACTGGAGTTTGATGAAGAATTCAGTGTCTTTACTTGCTAGACAAGTGCTCTACTACTTGTCTGTAGCCCAAGACATACCAGACATAGTTTTCTGTAGTTTCTTGCAGTAATTTGTAAGTTGTCAGAGGCTTGGGGGAGGGGAGTTGTACTGGAGTTTTGAATTCTTGTACTTGCTAGACAGGCATTCTTACCACTTGAGCCCCAACCCTTGCTGCTTTATTAGTTATTTTTCAGGTGGTCTTGGTAGCTGGGATGACAGGTGCATGCCACCATGCCCACATTTAGTTTTGTCACAGGCCCCTGGTACAGTTGGTGAGGTGCTGTATCTTAAAAGCTTAGCCTTATAAATGCTGGTTCTTGAGTCATTGGCTTTCAGAAGTTGAGGGCACTAAGGAAAGATAAGAATCGATTTCTGGAAGAAGGCTTGAAATGGGTAGGATTGACAATGTGAAAGAGGTCATATTGTCCTAACTTACCTCTCCTGTCTGTCTAGGATGGCCAGGCCATGTTGTGGGATCTCAATGAAGGCAAGCACCTTTATACGTTAGATGGTGGGGACATCATCAATGCTCTCTGTTTTAGCCCCAACCGCTACTGGCTCTGTGCTGCCACAGGCCCCAGCATCAAGATCTGGGTAAGTATGGGCTACATTACAGGCTGGGAACCTGGCTGTATTCTGTGACCCTGACACCACCCAAACAATGTGTGTGTCCTTTGATTCACTGTTGGGAGTCAAGCTTGCTGAACAACAAACAGCCATTAAACTGTAGACCTTAAAAGGTTAAGATTTGTTAGGATTAGGATTTGAAGCATTGGGAGACATTTGCCTTCTGAAAGGGATGACCATGTATGGAGAACTTACTTAACATCAGCACAATCCCATTTTGTTAATTGTTGTGTGTGTTGCATTCTAGGATATTTGGCAGTATTCATGGCATTGACCCCTGAATACTCTTAATTAGCAAGCCACACAAGCAGCCCTGCCTCATAGTGGCAACTAAATGTGGTTCTGGGCATTGCCACTTGGCTCCTAGAAAGCAAAGTCATCCTGTTGAGAATCTTAATTGTAAAAGGGCTAGTCAGTCATAAACTCTGCCTTGGGTAAACTGACAGTGGTATGCAAGTGTTTAAGGTGTCCTCACTCTAGTTTATTTTCTGTTCTCTCAGGACTTGGAGGGCAAGATCATTGTTGATGAACTGAAGCAAGAAGTTATCAGTACCAGCAGCAAGGCAGAGCCACCCCAATGTACCTCTCTGGCCTGGTCTGCTGATGGCCAGGTAAGTCTGTCCTCAGGTGACTCAACTTGTGTCCCCTCTGTGCTATTAATATGTCTAGTTTGCCAGGCATGAAGTAGTCCTTGACAAAGTAATATAAACTGTACCAGTGAAATGGAGTTACAAATGGTACATTACAGGGGAGATGGTGATCTCTGGAGGGCCATGATTAACTAGCCTTCACCTAATACCTTGGTTAACTGAAGTTTTAAGGTGTTGGATCTCCATCACCTGCTGTTTCTCTGGGAATACATAATCATCTACAGTCTGGTAGTTAGAGAAGGGTTCTTAAAGAGGATTGCTTGAGTTTGTGGCTGGACCTGACCTGTCGTTTTCTCCTTTACAGACGCTGTTTGCTGGCTACACAGACAACCTGGTGCGAGTGTGGCAAGTGACCATTGGCACCCGCTAGAAATTTATGGCAGAGCTTTAGAAATAAAAAAAAACTTGGCTTTCTAAAACTGGCTTCAGTTCTGAACTTCAGAATACTAATTCTAATTATACCACACACAGGTTAAGCAGATTTCATTTATAGCAGTGACAAACTGAAAGCGGGATGATTAAAGCTTTGTGGGGAAATACCGGTCTTTGTAGTTTTCCCTACTGTACTATTGGGCTGGCATTTGGAAGTTACATAGGATAGTTTACCAAATGTGCCCCTATGTTATGTTTCAGATTAGATGGTCAAGCCTACTTTAGCCTGGGGAAGCTTGTCCCCCCGTCCAGACTGGGAATGCAACCCAGGACTTTTCTCATGCTAGCCAGGCCTTCTACCACTGAACCACATCCCCTGCCAAGAAAACCACTTGAGTGAAAGGAACCGGTTAGTTCAAAGTGGTTGCAGTCAATTTAGGAATAGCAGAATGTCAGGTTCAATTCCTGATTTAAAAGAACTAAAATTTTGTTCCCCAAAGAATATATAGTTTGGGAAACTTGCTGAGGCTTCGGGTTAGCATACTAGCCACATTCCTGAAGTTTTAAGACAAGACAGTTATCACCAAAAGAGCTACCTCTTAAAAACTGAATTTCTTCTTTTTGGCACCACTGGCGTTTGAACTCAGGGCTTTTGTGCTTGCAAGGCAGGTGTTCTACAGCTGGAACCACTCAGCCAGCCCTTTCTTGTGTTGGGCATTTGTGACAAAGGGTCTCAAGCTATTTGCTAGGGCTGCCTTAAAACCCGCCACCCTCCTGATCTCCCAGGTGGCTAGGATTACAGGCATGAGCCATCAGGACTCAGCAAAAGTTATATAGTATTCTGAAGCCAGGTGCCTGAGGCTCACACTTGTAATACAGCTGCTTAGAATACAGACTGAGAATTGTGCTTCCAGGCCAGCCTGGGCAAAACACCACTAATCAAAGGAAAAAGGGCTGGAGGCATGGCACAAGGGATAGCGTCTACCTAGTAAGAACAAGGCCCTGAGTTCATCAAATCACAGCATAGCCAAAATAAAGTTTATAATATTCTTAAAGTGCACAGCACCATGATCGACCATGGTTTGAAGTGGGGTCTCATTTTGTCCCAGGAGACCTGTGATCCACCTCTTACATAGCTAAGTATTATAGGCACTATAGACCTGAAATAATTGGAAGCCCTTGGGCTTATTTTTTGCTTTGTGTTGTGGGGATCAAACCAGTCTCTAGCCCATTAACCTATACGCACCCTTCATTTCTTAGTTTTGCTTCAACCAGGTATGGTTCTAATGTAACTTGCAGAGTATGCCTGAGTTTGAGACACGGTTAGGGAAAACCTTAGTCCTACTTAGAAGTACCAATTCTTGGTAACCTACATTATAAAAATTCTCCAAGTAACCAATTCTAGGGTTTACTACTGAGAGGCAGGGGGGAGGAAGTAAAATAACTCAAGCCTTGCTATGTCCTGATTTGTCCCTTTCTGTTTATCTAAAGAAACAACTCCACAAAAGAAGCAAATAAACATTTTATTTCTGCAACACAACTGCTTTCCCCTTTTCCCCAAGAACATGAATTGACCTCAGCCACCAAAGCAGAGGATGAGAGCTGATAAATGATAGAAGGCAAGGGGTTACTAGAAAAATAGATTATACCCAATGCTCTCTTCCCAGGAACCAAACCCCTGTTCCCAGGCTCCCTGTCAGGGCTTGCCAAATTGAGGGAACTAAAAGGCATGGGGAAAGGCCCAAAGTGGACAAAAGCAACTGTTGAACAAAGGGAGGGAAGAAGCCTGGCAGTGAAAAGACCTGGAAGGAAGGTGGGGCAAGCTTGGCTGCTTTGAGTGCCAGAAAAAAGGGAGGAAAAATAATTTATTGGGTGATGTAATGGTATGTAGTTTCAATCATGTCGACCATTCCAGATCTCTCACTGAAGCTAAATTCTGGCCAGTCTATGGAGGTAGAAATTGGGGATGGAAGAACAGTTTAGAATTCCTCCTTCCCCGAGAGTAGACATTTCTTTACCCAGCTCTACCCTTTTGCCCAGCCTGCCTTCCCACAACAGCTTCCAAATCCCTTAGCTAAAATTTGCACCAGAAAATGGAATGGGTATATTTTTTTTTTTTTAAAGTCCTGCCCAAACCTTCCAGCCTCAGAAATGACAAAGGTTGACGAGGAGGGGTGGGGAAAAGGAAGTTGAGGAATGAAAATTACAATCTTTCCTCATCCCCTACTCAACTCTGACCCCTGGGCTGGGCTGGGCTGGGCCGGGCCTGTATGGGCTAGGCAAACAGGGAGGGAATATCAGGCAGCTGTTCTCATTATCAGGGTCCCATGCAGACCTGTTGAACAGATACAGTAGATGAGAAGGCCGAGCTGGAGGCCAGGAGGGTTCTTTAGGCTCCTATAGGGAGAAGCAGGGGCCTAGGGTCAAGGTAGAGCAGGAAGCAACACAGTAACAAACAGTAGGGGGAGCCTCTGAGCTCCCAAATTTATGGGCCGCCATCCACCACCACCCGCCTCCCCAGTGCTGACCAGAGGGGCCCCTACGGGTGGCAGGCTAATCAAGGACAGAGCTTGATGCGGGTGCCCTTGGAGAGCACCCGGAAGAAAGGGAAGACACGCTCGCCCAGGAAAGCAGCCGAAAAAGTGTGCACATGGGCTAGAGTCTCCGCATTGTAGAAACCCAGGCGCCCAGCCTCATAGTCCAAGTACACGCCAAAGCGCCGTGGTTTCTCGCATGGGCTCAGCAGTGTCTGCTCTGTCGAGCTCTGTGCCTGGTAGCGTTTGCCGTGGGTGCCCACACACCACACTTCCCGCTGAAGCAGAAGCTGCTGGGGTAGGTGGAGCCGGCGGCGGCGATGGTGATGGCGTGAGGAGCTGGCATCCCCGCTGCCCACAGAGGATCCCCCAGAGCCCACTTTTTCTTTATGATGGGTTGATTCACGGGCAGCACCAACCGCCCAACCCCGCCGCCCGCCCACTTCTACCTCCCAGTAGTGCCGACCAGAGCGGAAGCCCTGGGCCCCCAGTACACAACAGTCAGTTGAGAAGCGCTTGGAATGGTCAGCGACCTCCTGCCGCCGTTCGGCCAGGCGGACTCCCCTGCGGTCAGGGGACAACATCAGGGCTGGATGAGCTGTATCCGGGTCCAGCGTCAGGTCCACTTGGGAGGAGGGAGGACAAATATGCCTGGGCTAGAACGACTATTCATAACAGCTAACTCCACAGGTTCCACTTTTCCTGCTGTAGTAGCTTTCTCTCTCTATCCCCTCCATCTACCCCACTGACCTCTCCTCAGCTCCCCACACTATCTTAGAGGCCAGGCTCAGGTTCCTATGGGCTCCAACCCTCTCTCCACTCTATTTCCCCTTTCCCCCTGTCCCTGACATTTCCTTCTCACCTCACTCTCAAAACCTACCTGGCCTAGGACAGAAGCCACACTTGGTTGGAAACCTCAGAGTGGCTTACCTGTAGTCTACTCCATCTCAGTCCTCCCCTTCCCCTCTTCACTTCCCCCCAGAACCCAACATCCCTCAGAACTCAATCTCAGCTCTGTGAAGGAAAAGGCAAAGGAAGGTCATACAGGTGACCTCCCTACCTCTTGCAGCCTGACAGAACATCCGGCTCATTTTCCTCACGATGGCGTCTGTCAGGAAGTCATGGCTATGGGGTTGGCACGGGTCAGGGGACCAGATCTCTGGAGGCTGCAGTTGTATCTCTTCACACCTGGAGGAAGGGGACCGGGCAGGGGGTGGGACCATGATATTCCCAGAGGGAAGAACAGAAGCTGAGGGGAAGGAAAGGAGGGTCTAGGTGGCAGAAACTCAGGTCCTGGGGAAGGAAGGAGAGGAGAAGGATACCCGAGAGAGAAGGGATGGGGAGCCAGAAGCTACTGGGTCACAAAGGGTAGAGTGGGCACACACCTATTGAAAGTCTCCTTGATGTCCTGGGAATAATGGAAACAGAAAGAGGGACAGGGAGAAAGAGACAAAGAGAGTGTCAGCTGCACAGGGACCACTGCTTTCTCCCAGTCTCCAGCCAGGGAAAGGTGTGATTGTGAACAGGAAGGGAGAAAGCAGCATCCTCAAGGCCCTCAATTATCATGTGTCTGTCTCAACCACCCTCATGCCTCATCATACCTAGCTCATCTCATCCCACTGTGAGCCCAGTAATGGGATTTCACAGTATTAGTCACCTTTTTCAAGATGTCACTATCAAAAATTCTTTCCTCAACTCTCATTTAGTCTTCCTTCTATAACTGTATCTTCCCTCTTTTCACACACCACATTCAACATGGTCTCCAGTCTCAGAAACTGTTTTTATGGGTTCTTCCCAGTGACAAGAGGCAGATCTGAGCAGGGTGTGGTACGCACTTCAAAGATGGAACAGGTGCAGTGGTCAGAGGGAAGTAGTACTCACCTGTAACAGCCGCAGGCCCCCCTGCTGGCTCCGCTCCTGGGCCTCAGCCAGCAGGCGGCTTAACTGGGCAGCCTGCTCTGCAAGGCGACTGGCTGCAGCTCCTGCACGTCCCAACTGAGCTTCGTGCATCTCTCTGAGGCGCCGCTCCAGCCCAGCCTGTTCTTCAGCCAGAAACCGTGTCAGCCTCCCAAACTCTGAGGCCACGGCTGCCAGCTCTGACTTCATCTGGCTCTGGAATAATGCAAAGGAGATGGTAAAAATCATCTGAATACACAGGCAGAATGATTTCTACCTCTCAATCCAAAGCAAAGGAATAATATATTCCCCCAACTCCAAAAAAGACCTGGGAGTGGAAAGAGGTCCATCTCCTTCCCTACCTCTTGGCCTTAAAGAGTGCCATTCCCACATTCCCAGCACACTGGTCCCAAACTCACTATCCACTGCCTAGAATCTCTACCTTCTCTGCATAACTTGACTCACTCTGCAGGTCTAAGCTTACATATTCCAAGAAGAACCTTCTCCCCCTCCCTACACCATCTACTCAGCACCACCTTCATAAATATCACTTTATCTCTCCATGGCATCATGGCATATACAGTATTAGAAATGTTTACAACTGTTTTTTGTTTTTGTTTTTTTTCCGTACTGGGGTTTGAACTCAGGGCCTAAAACTTGAGCCACCCCACCAGCCCTTTTGTGAAGGGCTTTTTTTGAGAGAGGGCTTCATGAACTATTTGCAGGGCTGGTTTCAAACCACAGTCCTCCTGAGTAGCTAGGAGTACAGGCGTGAGCCTGTAGCACCTGGCTACAACTGAGTTATCTTATTATTTTTTGTTTTTTAGAAGCAGGGTATGTGTGTGAGGGGGAAGGTGGCCCAAATAACGTATACACGTGTAAGTAAATGCAAAAATAACATAAAAGATTTTTTAAAAAGCAGGGTCTCAATATGTAATCCAGGAGGGCTTGAGATCCTCCTGCCGCACGTGTTGGGATTACAGGCATTTGCCAACACTCCCAGTCTTTGTTTGTTTGTTTGTTGATACTGGGGTTTAAACTCAGGGTTTTGTGCTTGCTTAGCCAGCACTCTACCACTTGAGCTATGTCTCCAGTCCCTACTCCTAGCTTTGGAGTATCTTAAAATTCTTTTCCCCCAGTGCACCATAAACTCTCACTGACAGGTTCTAGGTACGTCTTTTTGTCATAGTGTTGTAAGACCCTGGCACAGTGCCAACCACAGAATAGGTACTTGGCAAGAATTTTTTGAAATCAGTAAATAAGAGAATTCAGAAATCAAGACATGAAAAGTCTTGACTATACCAATAGTTACAGTGGCATTAGGAAAGTCATCCAAGTCCTCTATATGAGGCGTCAGCAACCTTTTAACCTTTTTTTTTTTTTGGCAGGGTGAGGGAGGCTGGTACTGGGGCTTGAACTCAAGGCCTCAACACTTCCTAGTCAGGCACTCTACCACTTGAACCACTCCTCTAGCCCAGCAACCTTTTTCTATAAAGGTTCAGACAGTAAATATTTTACACTTGGGATCAATAGACAAAATCAAGGATATTACGTAGGTACAGTTGTCCCTAGGTATTCCAGGATACCAACTCACAGATGCTCAAGTCCCTTACATAAAATGACATACTACTTGCATATAACCTACACACATCCTCCAATATACTAAATTACTTACAATACTTACCACAATATAAATACTATGCAAATGGTTATTATACATTGTTTAGGAAATGATAATAAAGAAAACAAGTTTGTACATGTTCAGTACATATGCTTTTTCTTCCAAATATTTTCAATCCAAAGTCAAGTGAGTACACAGATGTGGAACCCACAGGTACAGAGGACCTACTATATTTACTGTCTACAACAACAGAAAAATTCCTGTCCAGTCCCACTCCCATTTGCCTGGGCTGAGCCATCCTGGGTGGTGGGCATACTTTTCACTTGTTACTATCAGCTAAGTAAACTTAACAGAGTGGAAAGAAGGAACTGGTAGACCTACGAGGTGAGAAAAGTAGCCTCATTCTCTGCCTCGATGTTCAGATCCTGGCATACCTTCTCTACATCTCAGAGAGCCCAAAAATAACAATTCGGGCAGCTGGCCGGAGGCAGGATGATTCCCTAACCCACAGATTCAGATTCTAACTCAGTGCCTGGCATATGCTAACAGCACACTCAAGTGGGCAGACGGCAATAAGTATGGGCTCCGGGAAGTGGCAAGGCGCAAACTCTGGCAGAGGAGGCAGATATTGGGAGGGGGTGGAAGAACGACAGAAGGAGATGCCCTAAACAGAGTGCCAGCTCATTCTAGGAGGGCTTGCTGGCCTTATAAAAACAGACAAGTTGAGGAATTGGAAATTCAGGGGAAAACACTTAAAAGACTCCTTGGGGAGGGCTGAGCAATAATGAAAAAGGCTGGGAACAACAGATTAAGAGATTAGATTTCTGCATTTTTTAGTATTAATTCCTCTCCTTATACACCTTGGCTTCCTTGTGGGACACAGCAAGCCACCAGGATCATGTCCCTTTCATGCTCAGGGCTTCTCTGCCTACCACCTGTGTGTATCCTTGGACCTAGGGCTCCTCTGATGGCTATCATGTGGGTTTTGCCCCCTTCTACCCTCTGTGCTGTCCAAGTTGGGAGTTAGGTGTCTGGGTAGAAAATACTGTTCTATAGCCTTGGACCAGGTGCCCAGCCTCACCAAGCCAGACCTTAGTTTTCACTCCATTTTGGAAACTTGAAAGTGATTTGTTACTCACTGGGGGCATGGGTCAAGTGGAAGAGTGCATGCCTGGCAAGCAGGAGGCCCTAAGTTCAAACCCTAGTCCCACCCAAAAAAAAGATAAAGAAAGAAGATGCCACCTGATACCTGAAGCTCTCATCTGCCCCATCTCTTCAGGTCCCTGGAAAGGTATCTAACCCTTTCCCAGGCCTTGGCTGTCCTTTTTCTTTTTCTTTTTGTGCTACTGGGGTTTGCACTCAGGGCTGACACCTTAAGCCACTCTACGAGCCCTTTTTTGTGATGGGTTTTTTTGAGATAGTCTCATGAACTATTTTGCCCATGCTGGCTTTGAAAAGTGATCCTCCTGATCTGTGCCTCCTGAGCAGCAAGGATTACAGGCATGAGACACCAGTGCCTGGCTATTGGCTATTCTTTCTTCAGGGGATCTAGTTATCACTTGTGAGAGTGGGCAGCCTCATCTTCCTCACCCTGACCACAGAACCAGTCTATTCAAAGACATTCACCCACCTTCAGCTCTGTTACACGCCTCTCCTCCTTGGCCTTCATTTTTTGCACAGCCTCCAGATGCTTCCTAAGTGGTTCCACATGCCCCTGCAGTTTGGCCTGAGGGAATGAGAAAGGGGTTAGAGGTGGAGACTGAGAGAGGCATCTGTCCTTCAGAGCCTACCCTCTAACCCTCACTACAGTGAGGCTTGAAGCTCGATATCCCCACCCTAGGCATCAAATACTCTTCTTCCCTCATCTTTTCCCAGATGATGCTCTCATGGATGAAAGCCGTGTGCACCCTTCAAAAGGTGGAATCCTTATGATTACACTCAAGTGGGGTACATATGGCTGAAGCCCCTTACCACACAAAGACCTTCCATATTGCTGCCTTTGATCCCTTCTACCTCATAAGTGATCTTTTCCTTATGACCATCTCAACACTATTCTGATGATTTTGTGCCTATGCTAAAAATCTTTCAGTGGTTGTCAACCACTTCCAAAATATTGACCCTACATTTCTAGCCTCACCTCCTACACCCATCCCTTCTACAGTCACATAAAACTATTTCTCTTTTCCTATATAATACCATGTTATTCCTCTGCCTGGATTCACCTTCTCCACTAGAACCATGGCATTCTCCCTTTAGAAAACTAAAGGGGCTAAGCTCCCTGAGCATAGCCCTGATTCTACCCACCACCAACTTCCTCTGTAACCCTAAAGACCCTAGAATAAAACCTTTACACTACTTCTTAGGTCACTAAGAATATACAAATGTGCTTCCCAGGACACTGTGGGGTTCCTGTCCTCACTTTACTTAATTTCTATGCTTCTCTGTCTGCCTTCTCTTCTACTCAATTACTTACTAAATGAAAAACAAAAACAAAACCCCTTTCTTCCTGAAGTTATAGCTTTCAAAGCAATTAGGCACATTAGCTTTATATTCCAATAATTTGTAGACAAATACTTTTCTTTAAAGGGCTATTAGAGAGACCAGAATAGGTCTACCATTTGGTTTTTCCTTTTTTTTTTTGGCAGTACTGGGGTTTGAAGTCAGGGCCTCATGCTTGCTAATGCAGGCACTTTTGAACCATGTCCCAATGCTGGTCTTTCCTTTTTTATGTCTTCTATTTCTGCTGTGTCCCCTCCTTTTCCTTGGGGGAAAGTACAGGGTAAAAGGACTCAAGCCTAAACTCTAATCGGGACCAAAATGCAGGTAGATAAGGAGGCAAGCCATGTTTCCAGTTTCCTCATCTTATAATTGGAAGAGAATAGATCACATGGATAGTACACTTAGCATAGTGTCTAGCATGTGGCAAAAGGTCAGTAAATTTTTCTTAGTATCTGCTAAGTTGTAAACTGCCAGTAACATCCTGATAATGACCCATGAACTAAAGAGGTTACTGACCCAAGGTACAAAATGCAGCTGTTGCACAAGATAAGCGGCTATAGAAAAAATTACAATAATAACAAAACCAGTCATTTTATAGTGTGAAAACAGCATATGACACAAAATTTACCTTTTGATATTATTTTCTAGTTCTTCACATTAGGGTCAGTACTACATTAATCTGGAATTTGTAATATTTAAACTATTTAATATTTTTCCTAAATTATTTCTAAGAAATTCATAAGCAAAATCCAAACAGGGTACTATTTAAGAGAAAATTTCAAGGACATTTAACTTTTAGAAGCTTTGTTTACACTTTATGTGTTATTATCCATTGAACAGAAAATATTTCTACAAAACAACACTGTGCAGGGCTGGTGGAGTGGCTCAAAAGCAGGAAGAGTGCCCACCTAGCAAGTGTGAGACCCCAAGTTCAAACCCCAGTGCTGCCAATAGCACAACACTGTGCAGGTTAGTGTTAGTGTATGTATATGAGAAGAATACACTACCACCTATCGTCAGAAAAAGAATCATTCAAATTCAATCTGCACAATAAAACTTATGTATTTAGACTTGCGGATCACTTAATATCAGATTAAATGTGTTTTATCTGGCTTCACGAATTGCAGAGCCCTGAAAGCTGATCAAGGAACAGGATTAAAACTTCTTTTAACTCTTCATCCACTTCAGGACCTACTACAGGATTTTCAGGCCAGCAGGCATTCAACACATATAGCTAATAAAAATTACAACTGAGTTTCAGAAGTTCTTCTGAAAAAATCCCACAGGGAGAGTGTAGAAAAGAAAGCGTAGGATACCCATGAAGAGTCCACACTGGGTGCTAATTAACAACTGCATGACCATACATTGTTTAGCGGGTTCAGCTAATTAGGAACTCTGAGGACATAAAAGTGAAAAACAAAAATTACTAATAACCTACCTAAAAAGGCAGGGCTTAAGAGGCAGGCAATGTTATTTATCCATGTATTAATTCCCATGCTAGGCTGGATTTTCTAAAGCTAGTCTCCTCACTGATTCAGAATCTGCACTGGTAGGGCCCATTGTACTTTTTGTTTTGTTTTGGGTGGTAATGGGGTTTGAACTCAGGGCTTCATGCTTGCTAGGCAGGCACTCTTACAGAGCCACTCCACCAACCAGAGCCCAATGTACTTTTGAAAACCTCCCCAACAACTCTGACAACCATCTGTGAAGTCCCAGACACAAGGCTGTAAACCTGAGATAATGATGGGGCTAAGTGGAGTGGCTCAAGTGGTAGAGTGCCTGCCTACCAAGTGTAAAGTCGTGAGTTCAAATCCCAGTACCAAAAAACAAAAACAAAACAACAAAAAAACTAAACCAAATAAACTTGAGCTAATCATAATAAATCCCTAAATGAAGAAGTTACTGATGGAATCAGAGATGGGGGAAAAGACAAGTCCTAAGATAAAAATATGAAGACCCTATGGAGGCTTCCTTCTCCTCCTTCTCCCAGTACACTGCTTCAAATTCACCCAGGCCTTCACAAAGTAGTGCTATTTGTGCTGGCTGTCTCATAGACAAATGTCTACCTATGTCCAAAAAGCTGGGAGTGAGCAAGGAACTAACAAAACTAGAATCAGATTCCAAGAAGAAAAGTAATACCAAAACCAAACACGAACCCTCATCTGGAAGTAGATTCTTGGGAGTGGGGGTGGGGAGAAAGAAAAGCAAACACCCAAATGTTAGGGATATACCCTAAACACAAGATGGTCAGATACAAGTCCATCACTTACTGAGGCTATGTTGCCTTGTGTATAGTACATAAACTTAACCCTGTTTCCCAGTCTGTAAAATGAGAATGGCAAACATCAGACTCACAGCATGTTTTGAGTTTTAAATGATTTTTCATGAGAAGTGCCCACTACAGTGCTCAGTATATTTAGTAAGGGCCCACTAAATATTAACTTCCAATCCCAGCGAAACTAAAAAATATTCAGAGACTTGAGCAAGATTTGACAGTGAGGCAGAGCCCAGGACTTGTCTTAAATGTCTCTCTTTTCTGATCAGTACATCAGACTGATGCACAGTCAACCAAAGTTCTTGAAGAGAGAATCCTCTGGTAAGAGGCAAGTGAAGAGTTTGTGTCTGACACTCGCCATTTCTATGCATGTAAGGACGTTTCAGAGCACTGTCCTTGTTCATTCACTGAGGCCCCCATTTCTTTCCGTCTCTATGCAAAGACAGACTTAAGACCCACCCAGAAGAGAAGAAGACTAGTAGTAAAGCATTACCTGTCACTTGCACTCCTTCACTTGGCCAAGTGTGAACAGAGTATGCAAAGGCATACTCTGTCTTCACTAAGTTATGTCTGCCTACAGGGTCTTTCTGGTTCTGACCCACCTTGGTGCCGTAAGTGCTTGGATAGGGAGAATCCGTTCACTGGCACACGGGATCCTTTAAGGGGAACAGATGTTCCCTCTGCACCCCCACTCCAACTTCCCTCACCTTGTACTCCTGCACCACCTCCTCCAGTGGCACCACGCTGTGCTGTTTGTGGCTCCTGGATTCTCGGCACACCACGCAGATGGCCTCTTCGTCCACCTCGCAGAAGAGCTTCAGGGCTTCCTGGTGTTTGGGACAGATGCCCTGCTCGTTCACACGGCTCCCTCGACCCGGGGTTGGGTGCATCTGGCGAATGACCTGGACCATGTTGGCCAGCTGCAGGTTGGGGCGGAAGCTCCGCCGAGGAAAACTCTTTCGGCACTGGGGACAGGTGAAGCACCTCCGAGGGGCTGGGGGCGGGGGCATCGGGGTGACGGGGTCTAGCTCCTCTTCCTCGTCCTCCTCCAGCACTTCCTCCTCGTCCTCCTCATCTTCCCCCCTCAGGTCCTCCACGTCCCCCAAATAGTAGTTCAGGTCTTCCTCCTCCTCGTCCTCCTCCCACACGTAGTCCATGTTGTCCCAGCTGGACCCTCCCATGCCACTGTTCCAGAACACACCCTCCTCTTCCTCCTCGACCTCCTCCTCCATGTCACCCTCATAGTCTTCGTCCCGCATGGGGGTGTCCCATCCCCCGCCGGCCCCCACAGCCTCCACGTCCTCCTCCTCTCCGTCCTCCTCCTCCTCCTCCCGCTCCAGCTCATCTCGGTCCTCCTCGTCCTCCCCGCCCCACAGCTGGGTCACACACACGCGGCAGAAGTTGTGCCCGCAGCCGATGGACACGGGGTCCGTGAAGTAATCGAGGCAGATGGCGCACACCGCCTCCTCTTGAAGGGTCTGCACAGGGTTGGGTGTCATGGCAACGGCAGCCATCTTAGTGTCCAGTCAGCCAGTGTAGACGGGCGTTGGGGGGGTGTACACAAGGGGGGCGGGGGGTCTTCCCTCTCAGACGCCCAGGCGACCCGGCCCCACCCCCCGCCCTGCCTTTGCCTCTCCACACCTTGCCTCAAGCGCGGCCAGACCAATGTCCTCCCCACACCCCACCCCTCCACACAGAGTTCCCCACTCCCAGACGACAACCGTTTCTCTGCGAGGGGAGGGGACAGAGCTGACCGCCACGGACAAGTCCCTCAGGTGGCCCTGAGTGCAAATCTGCCCCAACGCTCCCCGGCCTCCTCATTACCCCCCCCCGCCCCTCCTCACTTCCTGACCCCGCCCCCCGGCTTCCGGCCTCCCTCCCGACACTTCCGGCGGCGGCACAACTCCCAAGCTCCAGAGTTCCCTCAGCGGTTAGGATACGCCCCCTTTTTCCTCTCCCGGGCCCCAGGACAACAGGAAGCAATGCGGAGACGCTCTAGCCGACACTCGGTAGCTGGGCAGGAGGGCTAGGACCTTGGAGGGCCACGTCTCTGTGATGAGGAGGAGCGGGGAACGCGGACAGAACAGAAAGACCGTCCACCCCCATCCCCCACCACTGGGGAACAACTACGGGGAGCGGTAGGGACGTTTGGCAGCTGTCTGCTCTCGGTGCTAAGGCCGCAACGACCGGGCGCCATCCTACCGACCCGGCGCAGACGATTGCAGTAGGGACTCCCCAAAGCAGCTGCAGGAAGCGGAGGGGCGGGCCCGGCGAGTGTCCTGAAGGCACTTCCGGCTCCTCTAGGGGGAGAACTTTAAGACTCCGGGGGTCCATCCGAGTCCGACAAGGGGCGGGACTGGTAAGAGCGCTGGGGGCGGGGCGAGAGACCCGCCTCCTCCCCCAGCTGCGCACGGTAGAACCCGTCCTGCCAACCCGTCACTGTCGCAAATTTGGATGAACCTCACTAATAAAGGAAAGGTGACAAATCGTTACGTAAACATCCACATATGGCACACTTTTTTAGCTGTGAGAGCGTCCTCTTCAGAACGTATTCATAAAAAAGCAAGTGCTGAACGCGTCTAAGAAGGGAGCGTTGGAGAATGTTCAGTGTTTTGAAATGTTTATATTCCTGCGTCTACTTATGGAAAATAACAGTCCCTAACGCGCGGGATTTTCTGAGAATTAGTGTCATGTAGAACATGGTGAAAGCGATATAAGGGCTAAGCACGGATATCATCATGGGAGAAAGACTTTTACCTACGTATTCTGTATTACACTTTTGAATTTTGAACCAAGTCCAAGTGTTCTCTTAGGGAATAATATTAATATGTATGTACATTTTTTTTTCTAAATGCCATCGATTCATTCAACACATGGTTTCTGAGGTTGCACCACTGATGTTCCGCACCAGAAATACCGGGAAGTCTGTATTCATGGATCCCAGTCTACACGCAGGGGACTCGATTTGCATTTGTGAGATTGGTTTTACTTGAGACAGTCGTACCAAGGCGCATTAGTACAGATGCTGCCATGGTCCCGGGGTGTCCGTGCCAAGTAAGTTGTGCGGTAGAAGTAGTCGATGCTCCATTTAAAGGTGCCATTTGGGTTGGGGGCGTGGCTCGGGTTGTAGCGCGCCTACCTAGCAAGGTGAAGCCCCAAGTTCAAACCCCCTAGTTATCAATAAAAGAAAATACCTAACGGTCTCATTTAAGTTTTTTTGGAACATGGCAGGCTCCTGGTTGTGTACGGCATTCCGGGGAGCCAGAGCTGGTGGAAGACCCGTGCTTGCTGAAGGGTGGGAGGACGTCCTATTAAACACACAGCACCGCGAGCCTTGGGGGGCGAGGGAGGAGTGCACTTGGCTGTGCCTGGAGAAGGCCGGCCCCGGGGGTGGGGGCGAAGCGGCGGCCACCGCAGGGCAGCGGCACCCGGACTGCTGGAGTCCGGTTTCGGGCCACCCCCACTGCCTGTCACTGCAGCTTTCTGGATAAGCCAGTCCACACTCGAGCAGGCCGGTTTCCGTAGTGTAGTGGTTATCACGTTCGCCTCACACGCGAAAGGTCCCCGGTTCGAAACCGGGCGGAAACAGCGTTTTTTTTTTTTTTTTAATCCCCCCCAAACTTATTTTTTTATCGCGTGTTTCAAAAAGGGATGTGACAAGAAGGAATGAACATGTGCGTACTGAAAGGGGAACTGCGACAAGAGAAAGTGTAAATGCCGGTATGGCATCTCACCTAATCTCTTGCCGGAAGCTGGTGCAGCCGCCTTTCTCAGGTCCGGGGTCTGTCCTGACTTCGGGTCCTCCCTCGGCTGTTGGGCCCGGAGAGCCGAGTGGACCGTAGGCTCTTCGTACTGCTGCAGTCACTTGTCCTGGCGCGCGGGTGCGTATGCGTACATCACGGTCTCCTGGGATAGAACACGGCTAGCGACCAGCGCCGCCCGGCTAGCTCAGTCGGTAGAGCATGAGACTCTTAATCTCAGGGTCGTGGGTTCGAGCCCCACGTTGGGCGGAGGCCTGCTTTTCATACTTTTATAACAGCAATAAATTATTCTCCTGACCCAGACTAAACGGGTGGCGCCATCCCGGACCGTGGGCACACAGGTGGGCCAGGCCCGTCCGCTCCATTAGCTGGGCTGGAGTCCAGGAGCCGGGGATCCCACCACCTGGAGACTCTCGCTGTCCAATTTTTGCAGGCCCGCCCGCCGTTCGCTCAGGTTACACAGGTATTAGGTTCCTTATGTTTGCCAGACGACCTGCCCGCTGTTGGGGACCAGCCGCCTGCAGGGGACAGGAGGCTAACTGAAGGTCAGAGCTCAGGATCGCCCCAGCCGTGAACTTCGAAACCGTTAGGATTCGGTCCCCGCCCGCCTCGGCCGGGTTCCTATTTCCGGTCAGGAAGGCGGGGTGGAGGGGGCCCTCGTCCCCAGCTGCTTTTCTTTCTGGGCTAAGAACCGGGCTTTGTGAGGCGCTGTCCCTCACGTTGCAGCCTTCCACTTCCCCTAAAGGAATGTAAAGATGTAAAAACATGCCTAAAGGATTGTGCAAGTTATTTTCAAACGCCCTAACATCCTCAATTTACTGGTCACGGGATTCTTTTAGCTTCAGTTGAATTCATTCATTTATATATTGACTGTTTTTCCTTAGTCTTGCAAATACTGTCCGTTTTCTATTTCCCAGTTGTCAGTCCCCTCCCTCCCCCTCCGTTCCCCACCGCAGTCACCCCAGGCCATGAGAAATCTGTTGATCACATAAAGCAAGTTTACTAAACTTGGAGGCAAAGGGTAGCACCAGCCACAGTCTCAAAAGTGTGGGTTTGGTTTATTACCCAGGGAGTGCGATCCGGACAGGGATTGTCAGAATTCATTAAAAAAATAGAGTAGCAAAGTCCTAGCACTTGCTGTCCCCAGGGAGTTATGGGACTATGGGCTTATCTTGGAACATATGGGTCTAACCAAGAAGTGTTTGAACTGTGTGTGTAAAATAAACAATTGCATTTTTAATATTTTGGCAGGACTGAGATTTGAACTCAGGACTTCTGGCTTGCAAAGCTGGCATTCTACCACTTGAGCCACGCCTGGCATCCAATGATTGAATTTTTATCTCCCAAAATTACTTAAATTCTTTTCTTCTCTACCAACTTCAGTGTTTTGTTGTTCCCTTGTAATGTAGTTACATGGATACATCTGTATTTTTGTATCCAGTTTTGGCCTCCCTTTACATCCTGGTTGGTGTTATTTAAGTCTGGAGGCCTGTTCTATAGGACAGTGGGTTGCAGAAAAGCATACTTTAAAAAGTATCATTCCTGTACATTATTTCACTTCTGTTTCTAACCACCCTGTGTTGCTCACCCATTTCATTTGTTTCTGGTATGTCCTTCTGACATTTCTTTTTTTTTTTTTTTCCGCCTGTGTCTCGCGCGGCCCCGAGCCGGGCACGGCCACCCGACCCCCGGGCCACCGAGGGCTGCTCTACTCCTCCGTTCTGGCCGCCGGGAGCAGCGGAGCTCCGGGCGGGCAAAGCTTGAGGGGACCTGACATTTCTTTTGAAGAGATGAGTGGATACATGTATATTTCTTCATTCCCCCTTCTTTACTGCATGTAAAAATACTCCACGTTCTTTTGTATGGAAGTATACAAATCCTTTTTATTCAAAAATACAAAATAAACTATCCCTGGGTGTGGACAACGACAAAATTAGACCATTATATATTATCAGTTGAAACTCATCACTGATGGTCATTATGATTTTTAAAATATCAGCCAGCCATTCATCATTTTCTTCAACTGAATTCTCTGAAGTTATTGGTGAAGAGCACTTCCTTAACAATGGTGAAGCACCTAGAACAGGTTGAACTTCACGTTTCGTCTTGCACAAATGCTTTTGAATTTGGTGTAGATTATGGCTTTTGGGGTCATTTCTTACCCACCATTACTGGGACTGGAAACCTTTTCTAAGGAATTCTGCCACTTTCACTTAGGGAAAGCAAAAGTGGAAGTGCTAAATTTAACCCTGCCCATCTTTCCCCTTGGACATGTCCTGCTTTAGATGTCTCACACCCCCCAGCCTGTTCAAGATTGAGTCCATACTTTTCTCATTGCCCTGTCCCTCCCTCATCCTCAGACTCTGACCTCATTTCTCTTTTGTCCCCCAACAAGTTGAGTGCATGTCTTCCAGAACTTTTTGCTACAATTCCTCCTTTCTCTCCTCTTAGTCTCTTCCCAGAAGCCCATCTGGCCTGGTGGATTTGACACACCTCTGGGTAAGTGACCCACGCTACTCTGCACAAAGGAGTCAATCACCCAACAGTTCAGACATCCCACAAACACATGGCCAGCGGCTGAGGTGAAGGAAACTCGCTCTGATTTATCCTTTAGAGAAATCCCTCCAGGAATGATATAAGCAAGGTTAGGGGAATGAGATTGCTTCAGAAAGAGGGCCTGGAAGGACAGGAGGTGGGGACCATGTGGCAGCGAGAGGTGTAAGTCAGTGGAGCAGCCGGATGCATTGTTTGCAGCAGGATTTGGGGGCTCCTGGACTTCCGTTTTAGGTGGTTTCATAGCCCAGGTCAGAGGGAGGTCAGAGTCTGGGGATGGGGGAGGGTCAGGGCAATGAGAAAAGTATGGAGCTCAATCTTGAACAGGCTGGGGGTGTGAGACATCTAAAGCGACATGTCCAAGTGGAAAGATGGGCAGGGTTAAATTTAGCACGTGGCCCGGTAAGAGAAGGCGGTGCAGCATCCTTGGATTGGGCAAAGTCGAGGTCCGTGGTGACTTTGGGCCCGTGGGCTCTGACCAGACGGCTCCCGCCCTGGTGGGGAGGGACTCAGCTTCGATCCGAAATCCTGGCTCCATGGGAATTCGGGAATCAGCACTGGCGACGAAAATAATTTTGAACTATTAAACAATAGATAAGATACTATTCATAAATTTGTATATATGCGTATATACATTTAACAGGCGCTAAGCCTCATCCCAACTCTGTACATTAAAAGTTAGGTTTGACAAGTTTCATTTTAATAAAAGGACTGAAACGATTTCATTAAGTTTTCAGAATGTAACAATATTCCAGCCATAAATAGCACTGACCTAAAATTTGATATTTGTTCACTTCAATTTTGCCCCTTATTTTTAGAAATTTTGCATAATTAGAAGACGTGCTCAATTATTTTGAATGCACATATAAAAATAATCTCATTTTTGGCTTTACATTTTTGCCTTTTTGTTTTTTGTGCTTTTCTCCTTTTCTGACTTCAATTTACATTTTGATGAATGTATTAAAATCTCGTGTACTTTGAAAACTTTGCATTTTTAAAAACTTCTTTTCCGTCGTTACTGTGAACATAGCTCTGATTATCTGAGCATTTAAACCCTCAGACCCTCTAACCTGGAACAACAACAAAAAAA